TCCATGCGCATCTCCCAGCATTAAAAGTCATAATGAAGGACAGATCGAACGGATACGCGATGTAGGTGAACCTTCGCGACGATGGAGATGTCGCGTTGGGTCCTTAGACGGACTGCATGAATTCGGGAGACAATGTCATCTGTACACCGTCCATTCCGCAGTAAACTCTTTCCGAGTTAATTGAAAATATGTTCTTCTTAAAGTTGACAGTCACTAATCTTGAGAGGTGCCTTCTCTTGGGTGGGGATGCCGCACGAGAACACATTGGTCTTTCCAGCGTTTATGGAAAAACCGATGGATTTGGCGACCACATTCACCCGTTAGACCAGAAACTGTTTATCAACAAAGTTTCACCTTGGTAAAACGATAAAATCGGCGTAATCCAGATCAGTCAGCCGGTGCCCAGGTGCAAGCTAAACACCATCATCCATTCAGCTCTCATCATTAGCAGCCTTTAAATATCGGAGGCGGACAGAATGGGGCGTGAGCTGATCCGGCTCTATTTTGAGACGGACCACGGGTTGATGTAGTCCCGTTGCGAGCCCTCGCGGATCTTCATACATAACTACAAACACTAAGCAACTTAGTCGTGCTGAAAAGAGCAAGAATGGCTATTTGAAACTTGTCTGTCGTCGATAATCAGTCATACTGCAGCCCGAGTCAGTTGTGCTGACTATTGACGTCAAAGCGGACACTCCGGTCTTTGTTCATGCAATTATCGGCAAATGTCCTCCGTAAGCGTTATACGGAACCGTAATGCTGCAACACGCGCTATATGGCCTAGCCATTCTTTCGCTAGCAAGTGTTTACATTTTCGTTCGCGGGGGCGGGCATGTGCGTGTGACTACAAGATGAGGCTTTAGTCTTAACAACGTGCGGATGCTCGGAGAATTCAAGAAAGTATATAGGTGAAACTGAACCACTTCCTTCTCCACTGTCTCCGGAGGATATTAAATGTATCGATCATTGCGACGTTCAGTTCCTCAGATAGACCGACACGCTCAGCCCAGTCGTACTTCGATGGCGACCACGAGCGCATACACTTAAGCTATGCTTCAGACACCTTCTGCCAAGAAATCCAAGAGCACTGATATAGAGACACAGTGGAGGTCGTTGAAATGTCTTGAAATTGTCCAGGGAACCTGAGCCATGTGCGCAGAATTGGCGAGTGTGAAAACTGGAATGACGACTTTTGAGGTTGGGTTGGGTCGGTGACGGCTAGAATGCCTATTTGGAATTTGTCTGTCATCGATAATCAGTCATACCTCGGCCCTAGTCAGGTGAGACATAAGATTTAGATCCTAGTTCTAGTTAGTCTTCGAATCAGTTGTGTTGACTGATCAGGCCAAAGCGGACACTCCGGTCTTTGTTCATGCACTTATCGGCAACTGTCCTCTGTAAGCGTTATACGGAGCCATAATGCAACACGCGCTATATGGCCTAGCCATTCTTTCGCTAGCAAGTGTTTACATTGTCGTTCGCGGAGGCGGGCATGTGCGTGCGGCTACAAGATGAGGCTGTGCAGAGCTTTAGTCTTAACAGCGTGCGGAGGCTCAGCATATCTGGTATAGAGACATAGTGGAGGTTGTTGAAAGGTCTTGAAGTTGACCAGAGAACCTAAGCCATGTGCGCAGAATCGGCGAGTCTGAAAACTGGAATGACAAATTTTGAGGTCGGGTGACGGAAAACCAGGCTATGCCCTTTAGCCTCGTTGGACATCTTTGCACCCGTCGTTATGCAGTCGCCCCCAACCCATCGATCACTCCCCGGAACACCAACATCATCAACGAAACCGTCCCATTATCATCTGTTCTCAATACTGCCAGTTTTTTCAGTCGCGCTTCACCCTTGTACAAAGAAAAAAAACATTTTAGAAAAGGCTGCGCATAACCACTAGTAGCACGGACATCGTGCCAACCTGTCTCCCGCCGTGAAATAGCTTTCCAATGGTGCATTGACCTCATAGGATATTTGCAAATCTATTAGTAGGATTTGGCAGATTTGAATAATTCAGCTGACCCAATTGTGAATAACCTGCGGCCTGAATTATTCAAATCTCCCAAGCCCTCATAATAAGTAAGCCTGGTAGTCATTCTGGTGGATTATAGATGATAGCTTAGACAATCCTACCTGGGCTGTCAGCCTACTGTATCCGTAATGGTGGATTCCATACGAGCATTGGGTT